CCAGGAACCCTAACACCTCCAGAAGAATGGGCACAGGGAGGGCAAAACCTCTAGAAGAAGGCTAAAATGCCTGATCAGAAGGGTGGAAAAGGAGGGAGGAATCCCAAACAGGATGTGGGAAAGCAGGAGGGTCATGTCCCAAGGGAATTGTTATACAGGGTTATTTTTTTGTCAGGCCAGCCGATAAATCACAGAGATATAACATGAGTTCCAGTTTAGACCATAGGTAGATAGAACACGCATCAGAGGTTCACAAGTTTTCCCACTGGAACCTCAACACTGGAAATGGTTCAGAATCTCCTTCCTGGGAATACATTTATAGACTGTGTTCTCTACCATCATACTAGGTTAAAACGACCTCACGTGATAGCTTGAAAAGTAGTTCCTGCTGAACCGGTCGAGTTTCAAACCGTCTATGGTCAGCGTAAGGCAGCAAATAGAAGACAACTTGTACAAAAGGACAGGGTTTTGAGAAGACGGAAACCCATAAAACTGGCAACTTATAATCCATAACCCTGATCCGGAAAGGGAAAGATATATCACAGCTCGGAGCTGAATCTGAGGGTTGTAAGCCAGGGAGATATATGTTATGGCAATAATGAGTAAAAGGGCTCTAGGCAATGGAGTTAACCTCCCCAAGTAGTAAGAAGGAGAGTCTTAGTGACCCTAAGGAGAGAAACCAAAGTCTGGGCTACCCCAAAAGAGTCCACCACCGGAACCTGAGAGAAATTCTCGTGGAGTGGCAACTGAGGGGTGCTAATGAGAGTATGTTGCTGAACATGTGACCAGGCACAGACAATAATGTTGTGATGTCAGGAAAAAACCCAGGTACCCCACACAGGAAAAGGTCAGGATATAAGCCTGAGAACGATGCAGGATCAACCGAAAAGGAGAAGTGTGAGCATCAGCATTTGAGCAAACGGTTCAAAGACTTAGACTCAAGAGCCTTGTAGCAAATGGTCTTCAAGGCACTCTGGGATATGAATGTTAAGAGTCTCATACAATAGCACCACAGAGGTGGTGATTTTTTCAGCAAAGCAAGGACTACAATGATGTGTGAATCGAGTATAACCCATTACATTGCAATTACTATTAAAGCTAGAAAAGAACTCCCACATGAGAGCTATTGTGGCAGGTCCACATGAGACCTGACAAAAGCCTAGCTACACAGTAATTAAAGGAGAAGTTCACCTTTCATATAATGTCTGTATTCAGGGTGTAACATATAACATATTACTAAATCAGCAGTCCCTGCATCCCCCCAACTCTCCATTGTGACAACACTCTCCAAACTCGTCACAATTGAAAAAGAACGCAGCCATGCGGGGTGTGGGGCTCCACCCACCCAGCGGCATCATTCATCAGACTTCTGTGTATGAATGAAATACAACTACCATCAACCATTCCAGCTGACAGCTAATCACCTGAAGGTAGATATATATAACCCATGGTCTATGAATCAATTTCTGTGTCCTGCACATATAAGATGTCAGGATTTTGTACTTACCACACACTCTGTACCAAACACAGTAATTGAGGTTGCAGTCAGGATTTATTGCAGGCTACAGGGAGGACAAAACATGCTCAAAACAGAAAAGTCGTAAGCAAGCTCCCAATATACCTCCAGTATAACCCCCTCCTCTCAGCCACCTCTCCAAGCTAGAGAAAAGCTCCAGAACCCCAAATATCATAAGAGCTGGAACATGGGGACTCAAGGTGTGAAGAACCCAGACAGAATGGGGAAGATGCAAAGCCTGGAGCCAAAGAATATGGGAAATGAGAAGGAACAACTGAATGGGGCACCAGAAACAAGGAATTATCCAAAGGCTAGAAGGGGGATCCCTGCACTTGAATGTTTGAAAGGGAGACTGCCCAGTGACCTATTACGATGCACAGCCACAGAGCCATCTGCATGGACATCATGCTAAGGTGGGACATGAGTTTAGAAGCTTCTAACAAGCCATCACAACTGAATCATAAGGTTTTAACCATTTTCTCTGTGCACTCTTTGAAGTGCTGAAATGAGTACGCCCATGCCCATTACCATTCCGAGGAGTACACCCATGCCGAGGAGAGATCCCTATGGAGGAAACTAACCCACACTTAGACGGCTTGACAGATTAAGATTACTAATAATACAAAATATATACAAAACAAAGTAATAAGAAGTAAAACCAAGAGTGCTGCCTAAATACAAAGAACATTAAAAATTACATTTAATAGCTTAACTTAAGGTGTCAAAAATGAAATCAATAAGCCCCAGGAGCGTGCCCATTGCACTTGTGTAAAACAGCAAGAAACTGTGCAAACTGGTAGTGTTTGTGCATGAATTTTACCTCCTTCAATAAGTTCCATGAATGTGTCCATAAAACTTGGAAAACAGCAAAAAGGCTGTTCTAAATACGTGTGTTGATCTGCAAATTCTACAGTGCAACTTATCCTCTTTGCTACAATGTGCCTCATCCTTCATGACAACCCTCAAATAATGCACTCACCAGATCCATAGACCCCAATAAATATGGGTCTGTATACACTTTGGCTCATTACATCATGAGTGGTGATCTTTACTCCATTTCTTCCACCCACTCACCTGCTCCTGACAATGTCCTGGTAATGACGTGGGGCTTTGAACCATATGGCACATCCGCTGAAAGGTATACGTGTTTGCACCCCAATTCTGCAGAGTGAATAACACTGTGTGACTTATGTGTCTACGCTTACGTCTAGGGTGCTAGAGGAGGCACACATAACAGTGAGTGTTTTATTGCATTGTTTTTAACACTTTTAATAAACGGGATTGTACTATTTCTGGACCTGTTTCTGTTATGGCTTTCTTGTCACAATGTGGATTTGGAGGAGAATTTATTGATATACAAGGTTGCTTAAAGTAGATACTTGGTCTAGGATACTTAGGGCTCGTTCACACTTGGCTGTTTTGCCAATGCTTGCCAAACACCCATATAGCGTTTGGCAATTGTTGGTCCAGCGTTTGCGGAGTGTTTTTCAACGCTTGGCAAACGCTCCGCAAACACCGCATGCGCGGTTTAGCGGCAGTTGCTAGGCGTTTGCCGAGCGTTAAAACGCCTATAATGCAGTTTGAATAGTGTTACCGAGTTGCCCCAAAGGAAGAGGTACACTGTAGTTTTGCACAAGCTTCATGGACACATTCCTAGAACTTATACAAGGAGGAAAAGCATTGTAGCATTTACACATAAACACTAGCAGTTTGCACTCTTTTCTTGCTCTTTTGCACACATTTTATGGACACACTCCTGGGACTTATTGATTTCAATTTGGACGCTTTCTTTAAAGCGATTCTAAAGGTTCATTTTTTTTTTTTTTTTAAATAACAAACGTGTTATACTTACCTACTGGGTGCAGTGGTTTTTTCACAGAGCAGCCTGGATGCTCCTCTTCTCGGGTCCTCCGCAGGCTCTCCTGGCTCCTCCCTCCCGTCAGGTGCCCCCACAGCAAGCAGCTTGCTATGGGGCATCCACTACTCCATCTATCCATTCACAAAAGGAGCAGCGGCTTGCACCCCCCCCCCCCCCTTCCTCAATGGCTCCCGCTTGCTGTCTCAGCCATTGAGGAGGCAGAGACCTGAGACAACCGAGGCTGTCTTGCACATTATTGGATTGCAATGAGGCTCAGGTAAATAGTGGCAGGGCTTCGGGCACTGCTGCAATCAGGTTTTTTACAAAAAAAACCTTGAGCCTTTACAACCAATTTAAAATATTATATTTTATTTTTAATGTTCTTTGTATTAAGCACACCAGCACTCTTGGAGTTTTATAGTTACTTCATACTACCAACTAAGCTTAAACTGAGATTTGAGGAGGGATTCTAACGGTCTCTTAGCAGAAACTTAAAAGGTAAGAAAAACGTCAACCTGAATAGTGGTGTTCCTAATTAGGTGGTATACAGGTTGATCCACAGTGAGAACAGTACACCATCTAATGAATTCCTTCTGAAAAGGGAACATTTCAGTACACTCTCAGGTAGGGCCCCAGACCCTTCAGGGTACTTCCAGTCTGTCTAGAAGAATGCCTCAAACAGCAGATGTAAAGGTTAAGTTTGTAGTAGCCCTTAAAGATTCCAAATATAGGGCACGACAGTGATAAGATTCAATATACCATCCTGTAAATCTGGGGTGATAGCAGGTGACTGAGATGCTTCAAAAACAGTCTCTGCAGAAAGAAACCACTCTCACTCTGAGTTAGAGATAGTCACAGGGACCAGTGGTCTGACCTTAGCTAAAACCTCTAGAGGGTCAGAGATAGACTCTGTAGGGGATGACACTGGAATGCATTAAAATCCTCTGCGATCGATGTGTAAGTTGAGACAAACGTAGTTAAAAAGTCCAGAGTGGATATTGTGGTCCCAGAGGACAGGGTCAAGAACTCAGCTCCACCTAACAGAGCGGAGAAAGCCTCCCACGAAAACCAAATAACAATTGGGTTACCGAGTTCCAGATCCCACATCCTTCAGAGGATATGTAGTTAACACCCCTAGAACTGCTTAAAAAAGCCCAGTGCTTAAAAGGTCACATTCCAGGCTAGTCTTGCACATCCAGTCCAGCAGGGTCCTAGTAAAGCTAAGCTGAGGAAACTCAGATCTGGATAGCTGCTATATAGAGACCAATCCAAGCAGTGATGTGACAAGGAGTTATTGAAGTTGATGAAAGAGGAATCCATAAATAAAAAAAAGAAAAAAAAAAAAGCTAAACACAAAATATTGGTTAGACTTTGCTCAGATAAGTTGGGAGTGTATATGTCCATACCCCCAGGACAATAGAAAAAAAACATGATGGGTAGAGAAGGGGATATACTGGGATGGCTAGCTTGTGATTCTTTTGCTTGCCAGTGTCCTATCCTCTTGTAGGCATAAGTATAACTCAACTGTATCTGAACTCCTGTGTCCTTCAATGAACATGAAAGAAATATGTCTTGCCATATAAACTGTGTGTTGTGTACTGTAGATGTAGACAGGATAACACTTACCACATCCTGAATGGATTCCTTGATGTTTTTGAAATAATTTTCCGCTATTAATGATAGAACTAAGCCATTCACATTATGGACATATAAAACCATCTTAACCAGTTTGGGGCTGCTGATTGATGGATTGGAGTCCAGTGTTAACGTCCAGTCTGTGATACTAGAGGTTCTGTGTGACAGATTGTTCTGATTACTTCTGATTTCATTCAGTTGTGTAATTATTTCTGTGCTACCCTTTTTAGTGACATGGGTGTCACTTTCTGTAATGTCCAATAATTCTGTTGAACTCACAACTGTACTAAGTAAATGTGCTTGATGGTCTTCAGGAGAATTTTCCATAGTTGGAGGCTCTTTATGGCCTTCTGTAACTTGTGCTTTCACTGTGTCAGTGCTGTCCTCAAGGTTGGAGATGTCTGATTCAGGGCTGCTCTTCTCCAAATTATCTGTAGAATAACATGTTACATAACTTCCTGTGGACAAGAAGCCACTTCTGAGATCAAAATCTCTTTGTGATAAATGCCCTGGTTGGTCACCAAAAGCCACCTGAGGAACATTTTCCAGATTGGTATCAATGAATACATTGTCAGGGTCACCTACTTTTATAGACTCTTGCTCTATTTTATCACCTGTATGATGTGTACAATGTACTGGAGAGGAGCCTTGTATCGCAGTAGGCACCGTAGTACTGACAAACTCTGTTTCTGAGATAACACTCTCCTGTTCACTAGTGACAATCCCCACAGAGTCCTCTAAAAGATTAGTCATTGTCAAAGAAGATTCCTCCTGCATTTGTTCTTCGTCTAGGAAGTCTGTGTCTGAAATATGCGACTGATTGATCTGTGCTTCTTCACTGAGGCTGTGGGACATGCTAGATGTTCTCCTTGAAAAACTTGGTATTCTAAAGGCAAGCAAAGCAACAGCATGTTGATGTGTAAAGTAATGTTGTAAAGTAACAAAGGCAGAACATATAAACGTGGACTGTAAAGCCTAGTACACACAATCAGAAAATCATACGAAAAATACAGCTTTTGAAGTGATCGTACAATAATCTGACCATTAGTACACAGCTTTCGTCCGAAATTAAGGACAAGCATGAAAATTTTTCTCATATGATACCAGAGCGTACGATTTTAATTTCATTAGTACAGTTTTCGGATGAAAATACAATACAAAACATTACATCACTTCCGAATTTTTATTCTGTCGTGCAAGAATTTTAGTAACTTTAGTAACCTCTTCATTTTCGATATGTATAAATGAAGAACAGGCCCATTGCTCAATGTAAAAAGAACACCAGGCATGTGAATGAATGAAGAACAAACCCATTGCTTAATGTAAAAAGAACACCAGGCACTGACTACCACTGATTTTCCATACATTATACAGTACTGGGGATGTTGCCATTATTTGAAAGTAAGAAAATGTATAGCATACAAACAGCAGCAACACAGTCTTAAACTGAACCTGTACTTTGCTCATGCAAGTCAAAAGCAAGAAGTTCACTTGGTGCTGGTCTATCCATTTGCTAAACATCTCTTCACTGTCCTGCTGTTTTACTTGCTTGGTATGAGGAAGTATGTGATTTAATTTGCTTATCTCTACATGACAGCGCTGGTGGTCAGTCATTCTTGGGCTCAGTACTGCTACATTGAGGTGGGAAGAGGGTCCTAAGCCCTGTGTAGACTCCAAGCCAGTTACAGAAAGCTTCTTCTCCACGTTACCTCAGACAAATGGATTGACCATTGCTTCGTCAGACAAATGGATGGCCCTTGCTAAGCAATTTGCAGGAGAGAAGAGAAGAAACTCCAACTTGGAGATTACATGATTTTACCCATGTTCCCATGATAGTTCTAAGCCCTAAAGCAGAGTACATCACATGATCAAGAGAGTGTAGGTTATGTAGCATTAAAGTGAACTTGTTGTTTGCCTTGCAAGAAAAGCACAGGTTCAGTTTAATTCAGCAAAATTAGAAAGAGTTTGTACTCTTACAACAGATATTTTGCTTTTGGGCTAGTCTCCAGGATGAGTCACCCACTGGCTTCTCATATCTCTGGCAACATGATCTATACACCCAAGTTCCCAGTAACATTCACGTTCATTTCCACTCCGTTCTGGACAATGGAAAAAAGATTTCTGTTACCCATTATGCTCAGGTGTGGTGGAGGTGTGGCTTTTTATGTCTCTGAGGAGCTGCGATGAAATTCCTGGTTCAACTTCATCAGAACTCCTCAGTGACATAAAAAGCAATGAGTCAGAGTTGGTTAGGCCAACACTTCAGTCTGAATCTTTTCACTACCTGGTCATCCACTGGACAGGGTACTGCCGCAGTGCTGTCGCTTCCTTTTCCATTAGATATACTGGAATCATGTAGACATCTTGTGGTAAGAAAGCATCTATAAAATTAAAGCATAAGTATTAATTAGCTTTCATTAGCACATCCAAGACACTCATGAGACAGCGGCTACTTTGCAGATAGGAAACATCCTGCTTAGCATATATTGGTGCTGGGTTTTGTGACAAAATGCACTGACATGCACAGAGACGCAAAGTTTTTGCTAAAGTAAAGACAACTTAAGTTTTATTTGTGGTAACTGTGGGGTGGGTGAAAGCATTGTTTTTTTTGTCATTCAAGAGATTTGGTAAGTCTCATTGGCTGAGGCCCAGAAAGATCTTTAACCAATGTTAACTAAAGAAAGTTGATACAAGATGACCCATTAATATTGTTATCTGCACATCCGCATCCTAAGACACCAGACTCAGTTCTGGGGAATGGCAACATGAAAAAAAAACTTGAATCCTGCACTTGGAACGCTTATTGTTTTCACCACTAAACTAATCCTATAATGACTAAATATGGAGACCACTAAAACAAAACTCTTCTGAAAATATGATGTCATGCTGTACCTTTGACTCCACTATCTTTGAGTCACTAACATATACAAAAGGACTTTTGCCTTTTCTCTGACTTACTTACCTGGTCAGCATACTTGTTAGGAGTCAAAAGAATGGTTCATATTGGTGATAGCTTAAGCCGGCCATACATGGATCAAAATTCCCAAAAGAGAAAAAATAAAAAAGTGAGCGCTCTCTCAGCAGCAGCCAATGCACTCAAGGTAATCACAGCAAAACCCTCAAAATACACAAAAATATAAGAAGTGTGGCGCTAATAAATATGTCTCAAATGAACCAAAACACAAATATGATAAATAAGCAAAAAATTAATACATCAGATAAATAATAATGTCCAAGTAAAACGCAGGATCTTGCATGAAGTAAAAAGAACCAGGATCCAACAGTAAAATTGCGCACTCACCGGACGCGCTATAAAAAAGCGCATATGTAGTATGACCACTGGAAATCCCTCATCATGCGGGGACAGTAGATAGCCATCCAGGAACAGGTGATCTCAGTGTAATGGACAACTTCCAGATCCAGATCCAACTTCCACCTCCTCCAGGAGCCAGCAGAGCGTGACATTCAGCCGCCTGGAGCCACGAGGAGGCCCGGCGGCCATCTTACTTTTGGGTCAGTTACACTCCCATTCATTGTTCACTGTCACAGTGTTTCTGTCCTGTTTTAAGTTCTTAAATTTTTGGAATAAACGTTTTTGCTTTTTACATACTACACTATGAGGTGTTTTTTTTGGCTCCTATCTGGAGCTAACATATTTCAGGAAATTCCATTTCTCATCTTCACCACCGGAGGGAGTCCCTTACTTATCATTCACCCAGTCTAAAGGGGATTTCTGGATCTGGAAGTTGTCCATTACACTGAGATCACCTGTTCCTGGATGGCTATCTACTGTCCCCGCATGATGAGGGATTTCCAGTGGTCATACTACATATGCGCTTTTTTATAGCGCGTCCGGTGAGTGCGCAATTTTACTGTTGGATCCTGGTTCTTTTTACTTCATGCAAGATCCTGCGTTTTACTTGGACATTATTATTTATCTGATGTATTAATTTTTTGCTTATTTATCATATTTGTGTTTTGGTTCATTTGAGACATATTTATTAGCGCCGCACTTCTTATATTTTTATGGATCAAAATTCGTCCGGTTCAGAAGGGAGTGGGCAAATTCATGTGTGGGCACTCTGGTTGTAGAAAAGTCGATCTACCAATCAGCTTTTGTACAACCATCGGGTTTTTCTCCAATCAATCAGTGCCCCCAGGTATGGCCAACAGCACTGATCATTGTATTCTGATGGCAGGGAAGGCTTCCCACTGCCAGAACACAATAATACAGGGGGAGGATTCCCTCATCCACCTCGAATGTGTGTATAGGGGAATTTAATTGGTTTTTTTTTTTCCATTTTTGCTCAACCGACTGGGTTGCCTTAGGGGGGGCAATGTAAATATCTACAGTAAGAGTCCCTTTAATGTGTATGCCGAGACAAAACTAAAAATTAAAAAGCACTTTTTGAGCCTTTTCCTTTTCCATATATAAAAAAGTAATTTTATTTCTGTCTGTATTTCTGTTGGAGAGTTTTTCTCACTTTGAGTCTGGTGAAAATAATGTCACAGATGCAAAATAACTAATAGAGCTCTGGATTATCAGCAAACAACCAACAAGGGTTCTATCATCCTCACTAAAATTCAAAGTAAGTCCAAAGCTGGATTTAAACCCATATGAAAACAAAGTACAGTTAAAAAAAACCTCTTCTAAAGAAAGATAACCAAAGAAACCTGTCAAGAGAGAATTATGAAAGCTGTCCAATAAATAAAGTGCAAGGTTCATTCGTGTGAGCTGCTGATCTCAGAGTAAATAAATTGTCACCACAGAATATAACTCCCCACCCCCCCCCCCATTACTACATCCACAATTGATCAGCATTCTTACCAGGACTTTGATAGCTGCATGCTGGTGGTGACTGCAAAGAGAACACAGTTATGAAGTCAATGTCTTTGTTTTATCAATCCTTTGTGATACTAGCAAACCTCAGAATAGAATACATCAAGAAGCTAACAAAAAGTATGAGTCACATAAAAAAAAAAAAAATAGTAATGGATGTTTCAGAAGAAACGGAAATGTCATAATTGAATAAAACACATAAGAAAAATGACGCACACAGGGAAAAAAAAAGAAAAACCACTTAACTGTAAATACATTTTTGTATCAACGTCATTTGTCTCTCACCTTGCATGTCCTAGCTGCATCATGTCATGTTTTATGTGTTCTGTTATAATTTCTGGCATTTGTTTTTTTTTTTTTTTTTAAATCAAATACTTTTTTTTATTGAAAGCTAAAGACTTCCATGCACAACATATGTACAGTCACTGAATGAAGTACAAATCAGAATATCTACAGTATACTGTATAGTGTGTGCATTACACAGGGTGAGTTACCATGAGATTTCTTTTTTTTTATTTTTTAACACCTTACTAAACAACAAGTCAGAGGATACCCACTTGATAACCAGCAATGTACCCGTATGTCACAAGACTTCAATTGGTTATACCGGGATAACCTGCAGCTTTAGTCCTAAAATGAATACTCAACATTTTCATAGCTTGCCTACTGGTACAGTGAATCGCTCAGAAGTGACCAACACATTCTATAGTACAGGGCTTAAAATGTTGAGTCTAGACCTACTAGCCAGGCACAAACCTTACTCTCCACCAGTTGCCCCACCCAACCTTGCCCAGGACCGCCTCCAACCCCACCCGCAGCCCATCCTGTCTTGTCTCCACCGCCTCCTGTACTTTTTGCAGGCAGTGGGTGGAGCCTGCTGTGTCCCTCCCACAGCTCTGCTATGTGCACAGGCTACGTACAGCACAGTGATGATGCTGCTGCTGCTTTTACGGAGTAATACCTTAGTTTGCAAAGGAATTTGGTGCACAGAGAGAGGATTTATATCATTTGTGACCACTGATAAATATATTTAAATAAATGCTTTTGTGCACAGATCTGTAATGCCAACTAGTTTTCACCACAGAATGCTACATTTCTTAGAACATTAGAAACAAGCAGCAAAAAAAAAAAAAAAACTCAGCAGTTCAGATAAGTGTGGGTGACAACATTGTACATTATTTTTTTAAATCAAGACCTTATAGCGGATTTACAAACTCTGTTCTGAGTGGTGTAAAATAGATGTTTGTGAGATCTGGGGTCAATTTGTGATGATGTATCTGTGGTGTATCCTGTGGACTGACTTCAATAAGGCTGTAGTCCTCAGGGATTTAATCTGAAAGCAGTCATGCGTTGGTTTTTGACTGTAGTATTCTGTTGTTTCATGATCTGATCTACCTTCTGTAAAGCAGTTACAGTGGTTGTAAAGGCTCAAGGTTTTTTTTACCTTCATGCGATTTATACATTCTAGCAAGCTAATTGCTGTGGAGGCACCCGACAGGAGGAAGGGGCCAGGAGGGCCAGCAGGGGACCCAAGAAGAGGAGGATCCAGGCAGCTCTGTGCAAAACCACTGCACATGGCAGGTAAGTATAGACATGTTTATTTTTTCTTAAAAAAATAAGCCTTTAGAATCACTTTAAAAACCAATTTCAAGCAAAATGCTAAGGCCTTGTATAGTGCTCAGCATAAATGAGTACACCCCAACAGATGTCAGAAAACCTTTACATTCATTTCAGAATCAACATTTTCAATGGGACACTATACTACAAAATACTCCCACAAATGCAGGCCATTGATTGCAAACACGATTTGTTAATTTGCACACACAAAAAAGTATTTTTCCTAACAAATTCATTCAAGACCATGTTACAAAAATGAATACACCCCAATGAAAGTCTTAGGAGCAAAGCTAAATTTTAGACAACAAAATCCTAATTAACAAGAATTCAACTACAAGTGAGTCTAATTTTTCATTAAAGAGGTGTCTAGCAGATAGTTGATTATAAAAGGGCGTTACTTAAAGAAAACTCCTTCCCATTTCATGCTGTCAGCAATGGCACCACATGGAAGAGAAATGTCACAAGGCCTGAGAAAGAAATAGAAGGAAGCCTCTCCTAAAGCCCATGCACAAAAAAGCCTGCCTAGAAATTGCTAGGGCCCGTGCTGAAAAAGAGGAAGACTATTGGGACTCTGTATTCTGCAGTGATGAGACCAAGATACATTTTTTTTTTTTAAATGATGCCTTCAAAACTGTATGGCGTCGCAAAGCTGAGGAGTACAAAGAAAAATGCATGATGCCTACAGTGAAACGTGGTGGCAGTGTTGTCCTTTGGTGCATGAGTGCTGCTGGTGTCGGGAAGCTGCATTTCACTGATGGTATCATGAATTCACAGATGTACTGCTCTATATTGAAAAAGAAGATGCTACATCACTTCATCTCCTTGGTCGTCATGCACTTTTCCAACATGACAATGATCCAAAACACATATCTAAGGCCACTGTTGCATTTCTGAAGAAGAACAGGGTGAAAGTGATTCAGTGGCCAAGTATGTCTTCTGATCTGAACCCAATCGAACACCTATGGGGAATTCTGAAGAGACAAGTTGATCATCACTCTCCATCCAGCATGCAGGCTCTAAAAGAGGTCGTTCTTGAAGAATGGAAAAAGATAGATGTTGCAATATGTCAAAAACTTGTTAATTCCATGCCTAGAAGACTTGGTGATGTCCTTACAAATCATGGAGGTCATACAAAATACTAGATGAAGTCGTTTTTGTTGTGGGGTGTATTCATTTTTGCATCAACTAATTGAGTAAAACTGAAGATTTTGTAATTAAGTTAAATTATTAACCTTATTTTTATGTAATGAGCTAAACAATGTTCTCTAAAACTCAATTTTGTCAAAATTTTGGAAATTGTTTCTTGTGTTCATTGAGATATTAATTAAAATCTTACTTTTCAAAAGGGGTGTACTCATTTATGCTGAGCACTGAACATATGAGCTTCACTTGGTAGTGTGTGCACAAAGCATTGGCAATGTCAGCATTAAAGCAGTATTAAACCCCAAAGCAAACATTTATTATATTGCAGCTTACCAATTCTTAGATTCACATCTCTTTCCCTCAGCCTTTTTTTCCCCCCTTCTTTAACCGCATGCCGCCCAGCCACTGTACATATACGGCGGCAGGGCGGCACTCACAGGCAAAACCACGTTTTAAGACGTGTGTTTTGTAAACAAATAGGGGGCGCGCGCGAGGCGCGCCGCCGCCCTATTTGTCCCGCGGATCACCGCCGCAGATGTCAGTCGCCGGGTCACAGCCGCTCCTTAGCGGCTATGTCCCGGCGATCGGCGGCAAACAGTGACAGAGAGCCAGTCAGTGACCCCAAGTCAGTACCCCAAATCAGTACCCCCCAATGTCATCAAAATGTCTGCCGCAGTCCCGCCATAAGTCGCTTGTCGCTGCCATAAGTCCCTGATTGCCGCCATTATTAGTATAACAAAAAACCCCTACAAATCACAGTATCTTTCCCGCCATTTGTAAACGCTATAACTTTCACGTAAACCAATTAATTTACACATATTGGTTTTTTTTTTTAGCAAAGACATGTCGCAGAATGCATTTTGGCAGAAATTTATGACTAAATTTGATTTTTGTGTAGCACTGCCCCTTGGGACAAGCTGGAATATATTATGGGTCCTGCGCTCAATAGATCCAACCCTAAGCAAACCCAATCCCTCTGGCACAACTGGTAATGAATAGCAAATACCCCGCCAAGAAATTTGCTGACACAGGGTTAAATGAAACAAGAACAATTTTATGGAGAATGAAATGCAGTGTAGAGGGGTGGGGTTCCCCTTTTAACTTCCAAACTTACTTTTCTTCTTTTATGCAATGCAGTAAATTTGGTCTGCCACTAGAGGGCCTCACAGCCAAGAGTCTCCGGATGGCAGAGTCGCACTTTAAGCAGAATTCAACTGATATCAAACAAATAAACTTACTTATACTCTATCAATGAAATGTTTTACCCACACCGGTGTATGATTCTGCTTCTGAGGGGCGTTAGCCAAAAATCACCTCAGAGTCAGAACAGAATGCAATAAAGAGGTCCCTCTAATAAAGCTACTAAGCCAGATTCCCCCACTTCAGTCCTTGTAACGGTGGAGCTCTAGTTGGTGCAGGTTTAGTGCTTACAATGAAGTAAATAGCAGCTGAAGGCTTCTTTGGAGTTTCAGCTGGTGTGGGTTACATCCAATTTCACTAGGTTTCTGGGTGAGAGGGTCCAACCTCAGTGTCTAAAAGCAACACAAAGCACCCCAAGACCAGGAGCAGTCGCAGGATGCAATCTCCCAGTATGTGTCAGTCCCCGGGGCAGACAGTCTCAATTACACTGGTGGTGAGGGGCAAAGCAGGCAGAGGGATCTGTGGCTTGCACAAGGCCCCGGATGGGTGAGATCCCAGCAGTGGGGTGCGGATGTCCCAGTCTATATGCAAAGTGTAAATGGTGTGTCTTACTCTCTCCAGTGGGACAGCTCACCAGACTCTGAACACACAGCAGGGTCCCTCTATCCGCGCTGAGTGCTGTAGTGCCTCCTCCTCTGCTTGGACGGGCTCCACGTGTCCCTGTCTTTTCTCCAGCCTCCTGTCTCCCTGTTCTCCCCTTCACTTCCTGCTTCCTCCCCTTCCCTGCATTCTTTGCTGTGTAGTGGATGAGTCATCAACTTGGCAGAATGCCCAGGTTTTACAAACAGGAGAGAGAGATAAAGGACTGACTGCTGAACATGTGATTCCTTCTGAATCCTCTTGTACAAGGAGCCTGCTACATTTGCATTTTTTTTTTACTGGACATGTTTTATAGCAAAAAGTCCAAAATATTGGTTTTTTTTTTTTCCTCAAAATTGTCAGCCTTTTTTTTTATAGCGCAAAAAATAAAAACCGCACAGGCGATCAAATACCACCAAAAGAAAGCTCAATTTCTGGGGAAAAAAGGATGTAAATTTCATTTATGTACCATATTGCATG